ATCCACCCTTCCATAATCCATCCATCTTAAAGGTGACTTTCCCCATGCATGTAAGTATTTTTAAAAAATCTTTTTTTTTATTTGTATATTAAAGTTATAGTGGAGGAGTTTCTTTTGGATCTGGGTGGATCATCAAAATAAGTGGTCCTCCTAATTGTCAATAATTCTGGTGATATATTTTAGGCTGTCCTAGGTGCTCGTCCCCATTTTCACTTACCGGTGGTGAGTCTGACATAGTGGAAAAATTTGGAAGTAAGCCTGTATGAGCGATGCAAACAGCAACTTTTAAATGGAGCGTGCACGGGGAGACATGGGCTCGTGCACGCTCTCACGCGAGTTTAATTGCCGTTCCCTCTTGAGAGCGGATACAGAGTTGTGTATATGTATTTTTTTGGAGTGGAGAGGGCGGGTCTTTTCAAAGATTTACTAAAATCCTCCACTATACCTTTAATTCATAGATTTTTTTTTTTCACACTGATTGTAAATGCTAACCAGGGTAAGTTGTCCCTCAGATAAACAGACCAACAAGATTTGCAGGTTCAGCCATACAAAGTGTTGCTCCACAACAGCTCTGCAAAAGATCCTGCTAGATCAAACTAATTTTTGCTTTTTCAACAGAGCAGAAAAAAATTGCCACACTACTAAAGTATTGAAAACATGATGAAACTGTATTGGAGGAACTTTGACCAGACTTTCTTTTTTTCTGTTTAGCCATTTCAGAAACATCTGAAATGATTGAACCTGACAAGCCAGGTGGACAATGTGTAGCAATGTCCTGCTGCCAAAAAATCTCTACGGAATATTAGGGACATTTGGCAGAACCTTACAAGCTGAAGGAGGAAAGCGAAACCTATGTTGATAAAATGTAGTTACTGTATGGTTAGTCAGTGGGTAAAAAGAAACAACACATCTTTGCCATCCAAAGATAACCAAAGCACTTGTTCTTCTTTCAATGATTAAATTATAGGGTCTGACATGAACAGATGTGATAGCAACCAACCAATCCATAATACTGCAACATGATTGACCGCCCCATTTTGGGTCGGTTCTTGAATGACTGAGGCAGGAGCAAGAAGAGGATTCTAGTGCATTTGTAAGTCGACAAATACGCTTTAAACCCGTTTCCAGTTGGGCAGGCTTCCTCAACTTTGTGATGAGAGGAAGCTATTTAGAGCTGCCTAATGCAGAAGATCTTGATGGCATAAACACAAATGCAGGGAACGCCTCTTAGGAACAAACCCTTCTCTGATATTTTCATTTAAATTAATGATTTTATTTGAATTTAAATAAACTGAGTATTGATTCATAAATACTGCCATCCTCCTTTAAAATTATCAACTTGTGCCATCCACAAAAATAATGTTAAAAAAAAAATAGTTGGAGCATGCTTTTTTTTTTGGGGTTTAAGGCTTTTCCCCCTTTTTCCTTTTGCATTTTCCTTTTTTTTTCTTCCGCCCCAACCTTGTTTTTTTAGAAGATATGAGAAGTCCCATTAAAAGTTCATCACAAACCATGTGGGGAAAACAGCCTGTGAAGATGGTCTGGTCAGATCAGACCTAAACTTTTTGAACAACATGCAAAACACTGTGTAAATGAGAACTCTGGGGAGTTTATTATGAAGATTGGTAATGGCAGTATGATGCTGAGGGAAGATTTTATTTAGCTAGGATAGGGAATCTGGTCAGGATGACTAGCGAAATTGAAAACAATTAATTTTCTCTTTATTCTACAAGGATGGAATACTTTGGGTTTGACATGCACATAAAATCCCAATAAAATAAACTGATGAACTTTTCTTGCCTCAGCCCCTCCTATCAAAGTTAGTGCCATTCCTGACAAAATAACTTTTAAGATCCTGAATTACACAATTATGAAAACATTCCGATGACAAATTCTCAAACACCACTAAGCTTCAACTACCCATCACAGTCGGCTAAATGAACCTCCACATATGAGACAGTGCCCTTACTGGTCACTGTCATAACCAGCGAAGCCACATGACAGCGCTGATATCTGATGCATAGCTGTCTCGCTGTCGCCCGACATCCTCACCCGAAATAATGATGACCTTTGATTCCCAAAAGATGTCAGGAGACAGGAGGAAAAACTGCAAACGCAGCCAATTAATTTGGGGTGAAGAGGAGTGGAACGAGTGAATGCGTCAAGCAGCTCGAGTGAACGCTGAAGGGCTCCAGGAAAGACAAAGCTCAGGATAATTAGGATTCAGAAAGCCCTTTGTCAAAGATAATTAAAGCTGACAGCCACTGTGGAATGGAGAGGAAGAGAGCAGAAAATCCCTTCAAACTACAGGGCTCACTTTTAACAATCACTCTGCATCATTCTTCAGCCTCACACACACTCACAACCTGCAGTAACATCCATCATCCCTGCTTGTTCTGATATTGCATACTAGGCATTATAAGAGACGACAGATCAAGCAGGGAGACAATAAAAGCTGCTGTGGTTTTTAGGGAAGCCTGTTGAGCCAATTGGACATTATTAAAGCCAATAGATTCTGATTCTGTTCATTATTCTGCCCAAATATTTGTACGAGCCAAACAGGACATGGGGGAATCCTTTTTTTAACCTTATAATTGTACATCAACAGGACAAAATTAGCTCTCTAAACTGTTTGCTTTAATAAGTCACAACAAAAATGAATTTTATAAACCATTTAGTGTTTCTCGGGGATGTGTTTTTTTTTTTGTTTTCGCTCAGGCTAAATGTTGTTTTGATGTATTAAAGTGTATGCCAATTTTGTTTCTTGATTATACAGATACAATAAATTATTTACACCCCTGCAAGATTTTCCAAAAGCTTAAAATGTTGACACATTTGTTGATTTATGCCATTTCTATTATTCTTGTTCTTTGCATTTTGTCCCCATCCTTTTTTCCCCTCAATCAAACAGCAAAGCCTTTATTTGCCATCATAGCAATGAAACACTTATTGTGTTCACTAACAAGCACTTTGCATATCTCCCCTCTTCATTTCTGAAAACCATTAGCTCTTGATGTTTGCGGGTCCAGCTTTTGTTGACTTAAGGCAAAGACACTAATTCTGCAATAGGAAATAAAGAAACTTCATTTAGCCAATAGTCACAATGTTTGCAGAAATTCTTGTTGAAACTGCAGGTGGATTAAAAAACAAAATAAAAAACAAAGAGCCAAACACGTCAGCAGTTTTGTCAGATGCTATGGTCTGCATCCTTTGTCCTTAACCTTTAACCTTAAATATGACCTATTGGTTTTACATCCAGTGACTGAGGAGACCCCTCAGCAGTCAGTGAACTCGCCTTTATGTTTAAGAAACCATCTTAAGATTTCTGGGTTTGTGAAATGATCCATTATTCTGCCAAGAGTCACAGTCAGGTGATTGATACATATTGTCCAAAGGAGATGGACGTTATCAGCATGCTAGTTCTTTGCTAAAGTGTGCAGCCTGATTCGTTTGGACTTATCATGATGGGTCAAATTTTTCTTTAAAATGATGCGCTGATGGTGAACAATGCAGCACTGATCTAATTAGGTTGGTTTCCTTTAAGCTGGTCTTCTGCTGTAGGTTTAAAAATTTTTTCTGCTCATTGCTGGTAATCCACAAAGCTTGGTTTTACTGAACTGATATTTGTATTTTTGTTTTCTCTTAATCAAACCAGTCAGGGATTCTTTTGCTACCCATCAATTTGTTTACATCCACACAGCTGCTGCTTTCTGGATGTTTCCTCCAAGCCACGCTGCATTAAAAACCACTTAAATCCCCTCCTTTCTTTGCTCTGAGGCTCAGTTTAAACCTGAGCAGCTTGTCTTTACAACATTTAGATGCTTAAATGCGACACTCAAACGGTTGGTGACATTTGATTGGGTTACTCACCATTTATGTTGTCAACCAATTGAAAAGGCTGATAAAGTGGCTGGAGAAAGTTAAAGTGCTGAAACGTGGAGCCAGCTCCTATTTGCAGTACCCTTTCTTTTAGCTTTTAAATCAAAGTAAGATTTGTCTACATAAGAAAATATATATAAATTCATTCATTAGGTTTGTCATTTACCATTCAGGTGTAAAGTTTCACAGTAACAAAAGCAGAGCAGATACAGGAGTGTTGGGACCCTTTAGTTTTAATGTCTTTACATTCATTTATTTTTTTTTGTACCAGTAAGCATGGACCAAGTTATACAGAACAAACCCAAACAGCCCTGCTTTAGACCCCAAACTGACTTCTTTATATATATATATTTTATCTGGTTGACACACACATGGCCCTGGGTTACAGCAGAACTTCCTCAAATCAATTCTCTTCATCAGTCTTAAGTTCTTTGACTTTGGAAACTTTTCCACAATCCACATCAAAACATATCTCTGAAGTGGGGAGCTCCTTGCATTGAGAATAAGGTCCATAAGTTTGCACAAGTGTCCAGGTTAAACTGCTGGAAACAGTAATGCCCCATAAGTTAAATAAAAATCTTTCAACATAAAACCCTGGCAAATGCTTGGACCCTGAAAAATACTTAGATGAGTAACAAGAGAAAGACATGGACTAAAGGCCAACAGCAGAGGAAAAATATACATTAAATGTAGGGTAGAAATGAGTAGGCATGCTCCCTTTATCAGTATTAATTTATATGGAGAATTTAAAAAACATATCCTTTTAAAAGTCTTTTTTACTGATCACAGACAAAGTGACAAATGTACCAGTTTCCTCTGTCTGCTTCTGAAATTTTCTCATTTACAGAAAAGGCACATTTAACAGTTTGCAAATGTTTAAATTTTTTTTATTATAGTTTATTAAATTGAAACTGCAGTTTTGTTTTTCCAATCTGTAAATGTGATTAAAAACGTATGCATCGAGGTTAAAGTAAATATTTTGAATAGGGATGCACAATATTTGAATTCTGGCCAATGGCCATCTTTTACCACTCAACTGGCTGATAACTGGAACAAGTATTTTTAAGTTTGTTTCCTCCCTTCTGTCCTTTTAAGTTACTGAAAATTTTATCTTTTTGTTGTTGTTATCGGTTTCAGTTTAAAAACTCACCACCGACACTTAACTTTAAGATTTCTCCTGTTTAGGCATAATACTTGCTTCATTGTCACAAAAAACATCCCTATGTAATCAAAACAGATATTACGCCGATAATATTGTACATCCCTGGTTTCAGATAATATAATGTATTGTTGCAGCATTTTCACAAGTACAAACACCTGCCTAAAAGGAGCAGAATTAGTACATTTGTTAAAATGCCCCCTTAGAAGTAGAGAATAATAGTTGCTTTTCCATTTTAAACAGGTCATGCTTAACAAATTTAGTTTTGTTATCTTCTATAACTACTACATTTTTACTGAAGGGTGTTATGTGAAAAAAAACCTAAAACTTGTCTATGCATGTCTGGGAATAAACAAGTCACAGTTCAGTTATGTTCAGATCTATACAATCCTAAAGATTTTTACCTTAGAGGCCTGAACAAAGCTGGAGAATACAAGACCTGGCTGCAAAATTACTTCTTAACAGGAATTATATTATTAACTTGGTCAATGCAATAGTGAAAAGCAGACTAAACTGTAATAGCTTTGGAAATGTTGAGTTTTTATTTAAAAAAAAAAAAAGACTCCCCATTAAGCCAATCTAAACACAATGCTGAACAATTGTTAGTCACTGTTATATCAAATCAGAAGAAAAGATCGGGCAAAAAACTTTACAAGAAAATAAAAAAATGCTTAAATTACATTTCGACTTTTGAACAACTGTTTAAAAAAAAAAAAAGAGGCAAAAAAAAAAGAGGCATAAACTACATGGTGGGTGAGAGTGGAATAATTAAACAAGTAATTCATTTTTTTTTTTCTGTGAAAGAAGACCGCTTTCACTTCCTAACAGGAGGAGATGAAATTGGAGTCTTAGTCGGTGAAGTGCTTCTTTAATCCCAGTTGTGCAGCAATTTTAATCAAGAGTTTGTTAGAGAAACTCAACAACCTCTGATCCAAATCAGGCTGAAGCAGTACCTCTCCGGCCTGCATCATTATGCCAAGGTTCTTTGCTTTATAGGGAAAAATAAATTAAAAAAAGAAAGAAAAGGGAGTTACTGTTCTTTTAGAACAAAATCATGTTAACTGTTGAACTGGTCATCGTTCTCCTTCGGCTCAGTAAACTAAAATTAAAAAAAGGGAAGGTGAGATGATACACATGCTGTTATTTAAATCAATGAGGAAAATAAAATCAAGTAAAAAAAATATTTAGTATAACAGGCTTCAAGATTGGGCAAAATCAAGTAAACATTGCAACCCTTCTCCATTTGAATCCGGAAGATTAAAAAATAAACTTTCAATATAGTAAACAATAAAACAACGTAAGCCCAAAAATCTAATTAAAACTCAAAAAAAATCTCAATTAAGTTCATAAACTCATAAAACATGTTACATCCCTTACTCTATAAAATTAATGCCTATTGAAACATCATGCATGTGAGACATGGAGTATGTTCTTGCTATCATCTTAAGTCTGCAGGAATGGCGCATTTCATTCGGTTAAACATTTTCTCAAGTTTATAAGCTGGCTTACCTTTTTCTTAAGCTGTACCGCCTTTTTTCAGTTTCACATTAAAAGTTACTAGCCGTCCTGTTGCCCACAGGAAGTATTTACAATCTTTCAAAATTAAACATCACAGACATTACAGGTAGCTGCACTTTGTGCACCAAGACTAACATAGGGCTGTCAATTTTTGAACTTCAGTTACATTTTTATTTTCTTCCAGTCCTTTTTGACACTGGCTCCATTAAAGTCCAAATGTGCGTGGCTATAAGTGCTTTGTCACAGGGATCAACAGAGGAGACAATGTAGGAAAGGCACTTCTATTGCAGATCTATTCTGATTGGCTTAGACTTTTTAGTGTAGTTGGCATTATTAATTTAAGAATACTGCTGGGTGAACCTCTGGTGGAACTCCTTTACGCTGTTCAGCAGGATCTTCAGCTTATCTGTTGGTGGCAAGATGGTCATTCTGGATGGAAAACAAAAAGAAATAGCAAAAATTAATGTTTTTGACTCTAAAAGAAGTCGATTAGGATAGGAACAGTAATATTATGTGACGTTTATGTGTGTCACCATAGGCTGAAACGGCTCTCATCAAATATTTAAAGTAATGACATGATTCTTTTGTGTGTGTGACACTTATTTTTAGGTCTACACTTTATTTATCTGGGATTTCTTTCTTTAAATCTGTTTGAAAACAGGAGAACATTCAGTAATTCAGTAATAGGGCGAAGCGACTCCTGATCCCAACCTGCCAAAGTTTGTTTTTAGTCAATAATGTTATCAAATAAATTAGCAGAAGACACCATGAAAAACCACATCAACTTAAACTTATACGATCTGTTACTTTTGCAAAGATGAGAATGTGAATTCTGACAAAACAGATGTGATAACATTAGCTAAGCGTACGTCCACCTCCACTGCCATGTTTATTTCGGTTCGGCTGTAGACTCTGCAGCTCTTTCTTTCATTACAGCGATAAGTCCCTCCTTAAACCATGATACTTCTACGTGATTGGCCGATCCATGTTCAATCAGACTCGAACGATTTAAGCTAGTGCGGCACAAGATGGATTCTTGTGTCCTTGTGAACTCACCGCTAACGAATTAGGCTTTCAGGCCACATTAAAGTGTTTCTAATGCTTATACTTCCAGTTAAAAGGGCGTGTCCAGTTGTTTCAATAAGATTTAGGTCACGGTTTTAACTAAGGCCCTCTAAAATATTTTCTTTGCAGTCACTCATACCCCTTTCCTACCGTCTGAAAAACCAGTTTAAACTCGGGAGCAATCGGCTTTTAGTGTCAGTGGGAACAGCTCACTGACTTCTGTCTAAACAAGTCAAACGACTCGGCAAGCGACCCGTGTTAAAATCGCCTCGGCTCTGATCGGCATGCATTAGGAACAACAGAACCAGGAATAAAAAACCTACTTTACAATTTTACAGGACAAATTATTATTATTATTTTTTTTTTTTACATTGTACATATGATAAGAAACAAATTTATTTAAAAATCAGTTTAAAAATGGATTAGCAAATTCCCTCTTTTTATTGAAGTTTTTGTCATATGGTGTTAATTTGTAAAAAAATATTAAATTGCAATTTAAAAACTAAGCAAATATTCTATTTTCTACTCCAATTAAAACCAAGAAGGATTTCTGAATCCTATTGAAATCTATTATTTTTCCAAAATATAATGAAAAAAAGAAACAGACTAACATGTTCTAGCAAAGATTTTGATAGAAAATATGCTCATCTAATGTAGGCCTATTTTAAAACAAGGTTCCACTTCAATGAATGTGATAGCTGGTTATCTTGCCCCTGTCGAGGTGGGATCAATCTCTGATAATAAAACCTAATGGAAGCCCTAATTTTACAGTCCCTGGTGAGCAACTGTATCCTCTTCTCTTTACTGAATGGAAAGGGAGGGCTAGCAAAAATTTAGAGATCTCTCATGGCTGCCACTTTTGAATCTTTTCATTCTGGTTGAAACCTTCGACAACAAATCCTTCATCTCTTGTTAACAAGGTCGCTCCAGACTTTGTGTCCTTTATGGAAAGTGCTCTTTGTTGTGGTTCTTGCAATGCCTTGGAGAAAAGATACATCCCTGTGATTTTTTCCCACATTTTCTCCAGTTAATACCACAAATTTGAAGGTATATTTTGGGGATTATATGTGCAAAACATAGTGGTGGACTACTTTGAAGTTAAAGAAATGTATTAAATACTTAAGAACTTTTTTTTTTTTAAACAATACAAGAAAAGACTTTTGTGTTTGTTTTCTGCACCTCTGGCTTCAAAATTTAAATCATGACGGCAATAATTTTGGTGTCTCAACAATTTCTGTGGAGCTACAGACTGAGGATAAAGTCCCACCAGAAAAATCCTGTTGTCCTCTTCTTAGATCTGGACCAAAAGCAGATTTAGTTTTTTGTGATTTGGTCCAGTTTCTATTCAAATTTATCTTTTTTGCAAATGAACTTGAGGTCACTGCAAAGCCAAATGGAATGAATGGTGGTACCATTGGTCAGAAAGGACTCATGCAGAGCACAGAACCATCCTTCAAACCGAGGAAGATCGATCGCATTCAGGTAGTAGTGTTGCTAAGTAACATACAGTGGAACAGTTATGATTTTGATATTGTGGCTATGTTAGCATGGACACAAACAGTCGGACTGAAGACCTGATCAGATGAAAAATGTTTCATGTCAACATGTCAACTTCATTTTGACTGATAGAGGAGGACTAATCCATGTACACACCCATTCAAATCCCTGGAGAAAATCATCTCCTCTGCACATGTTTGCAACATCAGTGTGATGCTTTTCTCTTAATTCACTGGCTCCTGGTCCTCCTTGGTGTGCGTGTATATATATATATATATATATATATATATATATATATATATATATATATATATATATATATATATATAATGTGTGTATTTTCAAACCATGCTAGGGGGGTGTGGGGCCATGGGAACAGATTCAGGAATTGCATGAATGATTGAACACTAAATTTGACTTTTGAAAAAAACAATACCAAAACCGGCCAGAAGATGGCAGAAGTGCATCTATATCTAGTGTGAATGAAAGCTGATTTATACTCAGAAACTAGGCCGTCTGTGTGTGTCGCAGTGAACGCAGATATGCTCCCCCCTTTCAACAGACACTCTGCTGCACCTCTCCAAAATTTTAGGTGACCGCAGACAGTGCTGCAGACAGGAGGCCTCTGATTGGTCAAATCTACATCCGCTCTACACTATGCATATTTCCTATGTGGCACCTTACCGGCTTGTTTTGTTTTTTGTTTTGTTGAACACTGGGACCCTTTTTCACCTGGATCCAGGCTCTTTTTTGCCCTCTTTTCCCTCCGTTGTCGGACAAACTTGCCCCCACTTCCTCACCGCCTCAGCCGTATCTAGACCCACAGCTAGTCCTGATTGGCCCTCTGGCTTTGTGGCGTGGAATAACAGCGCAGACCACACCTGCAATATTGTTCATAAATCAAAAAATACCTGCGACAAGCTCACGGTGACACACTGCTGCTGGTGGATAACCAGGCCGAGGTCGTGTTCGGTGAGGAAAGCACAAACCCTTATTTTTAACTCTCATACATGCTCAGTTATTGTCACTGGTAAATCAGCTCCTGCCGTAGCTCCTGGCAAACTTGTAGTGTGAGCGACCGCATGAACAGCACCCACCCCCTTCTTCTGATTGGCTAATACTGTTAGTTCCAGGGCGCTTCTTGCTACCATTGGCTGAGAAACGCAAGAGGGATTTCGATTGTCTTTGTTTTTATTTATTTACCGTCAATTTATTTTCGAGTTTTTTTTTTGTTTTTTTTTTAACCAAAGCAATCGCTACGGGCCGGAATACTTTAATCCCTTTGTGTCAAAGCTGAAGTTAACGCAAACAAATAAGAAAATCTGTGTTTTAATTTTCAGGTGGGTCCTCACAAAGCAGAACAGATTCCAGCCCTATTTTAGTTCATTATTTATTACCTGAGAAAAAAAATTATTTTCATGCACCCATTGCAATGCACTTGTGGAACACTAGGGGTACGAGTACCCCCTGTTGAAAATGACTGGTATAGACAGACATCCGTAAGGCAAGCAGAGGGAAAAGTAAAATTTCAGCCAATTACTTTACACCTATTTGCCACAGCCTGTGAGGAGAAATGTTTACTACCTGAAGTGGTACGTTCCCTCCTTTTGGCCAAAGCCACTTCCTGGAACGAGGCAAATTCCCGTCTCTTCCAGCATCTTCATGCAGTAAAACATATCCGGCTGCTGACCAAGTTTCTAAAGGAGAAAACAAGGACGAATCACTTGGTTTATTGCCATCGATGAGAAACTTCAATCTTTTTGTACATTTTTTAAAAGAACAGAACAGTCTTTCATCATAAAAATTATAATATAAAGTGAAACTCCCTTCCTTTTTGAGATTGCTCGAATTTAGATAGAATAATTTCATAACAAGTCCATTCACAGAGTGGTGGACCAAAAATCAAAAGGTCAACATGTCCAAATTAGTCACCCTTTCAAAGCTAAAAGTCCCTGCTGCACAGACGTCAAAAATGAATCAGTAATTAATCAGTTATGCATTTCTGAAAAACACTTCTAAAAACCTCTTGACTTCATTCCTTGCTGTGTTAATTTCATTATTCTGCTTATTAAAGCACACGTCCTTTGTTCAGATCCTCGGTCACAGTAACAGTTCCTGAGCACTCACACATTAAATAGCTCTTGATAAAAAGTAAAAACAATTGGGAAAAAATGAATATTGCAGTAAAAAAAGAAGGCTCAGTCTTTGCATGTGCATTGTTTTGAGATATTGTGGACATCAATACATCGAACGGTTGGCCAGATCGATCAGACTGATCCTGTGTGAAGCTCATTAGTGTTTCAGAGGCTCCACTACTCATATCATCCTAAAATTCCTACTGGCCAGTCAACTGTAAGGCAGCAGGGCCACTGAACGCTATTGGAAATCATTTGTTCTCCTTCGCAAACAGTGGGATGGTGCGCAACCTCATAGACTAGTTGAATCGTTTCTTCCTTAATGTTGAACTTAACTGCAGCCAGATTGATGATGTCTGTATTATGTTCATGGCTGTTGACATAGCTAAAGAACAACAGGTAGATTGTTTTGGATAAAGAAAATATATGTTCCACTCAATGCTCCTGATTTTTACTGTTCCTATTTGATATAATCAATCTGACTCAACCATGCGAGACAACTTGGATCACTGGAAGAAGAAGACGACTCAGAACTGACCTTGGCCTCCTGAATGGCCTTCTCAGGTATGGTTATCCTAGGAAAGGAGTACATGGCTCCCTGTACAGGATTGCAGCTGATGCCGTCCACAGTATTGAGGACCTGCTCGGTGAGTTTGGCCTTCTCTGCTAAGGCACTTAATGTGGCTGTGCGTTCCTGGTAGTAGGAGAGACAAGAGAAAGGAAGAAAGAATGATATAAAGACAGATTTTACTACCATCTCTAACATTAAGAAATTTAATTATGATAATGTTGTTTAAAAAAAAGCAAAACAAAAAAAAAACAGCAAAACTAAGAATTGCATACTAGGTTAAAAAAAATAAAAATAACTGCAACACTAAACACTGAACAAAAGAATTCAGATTTTTTAGTAATTGCTAATGGAAAACTGTTTTTAGCTGAATACATTGTATGTGAATAAGGAGGTTTTGTTTTCTATATATCTGGTCTTTACCTTAATAAAGCGCTCATATGAAGGTTCCCCAGGCTGAGGTGGGTTGACTACCAGGTCCATTAGAGCTTGCCCAGGAACAGGTGAACACAGACGGACCGACAGCAGCTTGGTCAGCTGGGCTTTTACATCATCGTCCATGTTTATGATCTCCATGTACCCTCCACGGAAGCCACACCTGAGAGCAAGATAGATTTACCAAGACACAACATAATGAATAAAAACATAAGATTTTAGCATCTGTTTAATTGATGACCTAATTTCTTTTAGCGAATAAAAGAAAAGACTCACTCTCCCATGTAACACTTGGAGGTGGAGTGGAACGAGGCCAGTTCTACTGTTTCAGAGTACTCTGGTCCCATCTCAAACAGAACCTTCTTAAAGGAGTGGAACTGGCAACCCTCAGCATACACGTTATCCTGGTACACCTGACAGTGTGGGACACAATATTAGAGGATGGCCGAGATCTAAAGCTGGTAGATTATTAGAAACAGGTATGACAGTACCTCATCAGCCATGAGGAACAGACGCTCTTTGGCAGCAAACCGGATCACATCCTCTATGCACTCCCTGGTCTGCACCTGACCTAGAGAGCAGAAGGAGACAGAAGTTAATAACTGCTGCTAGTGAGTCAATTATTCTGCTCTGCTGCCATCTAGTGGATTTCTTTGGAATTACATAATTATTTCCACTGTTTTATTCCTACATTTTAAATAGTTATTAAAGAAAGAAATCTAAGCAAATAAATACAGAAAAATATTTTACCAACACAAACAGACAGGGGAGATGTTGCAATACAAAACAACAGAGAATTGTAATAAAAGTACTAAATTGACGTGTGACCAATCAGATGTATTTAAAATCCAATCGTTTCTAATGAACGGCCCATAACAAGAAGCTAACAGTGGAAGCTGTTAATGCAGTAAGAAAAGGAAGATTTTCATTTTAGGTACCAATGAGGAAGCACAGACCGAAGTCTCTGAGGAAAAGACAAATAACAAGGAGCTTAATGTATCACAGCAAAGTTGTTCTGCTTTATTCATTCAAAGGGTCTAGTACCATCTGCCTCGGATTAGGCTGGATTAGGGCAGCTGTCATCCATTAGGGCCAATCTTTAAAACCCAACAGGAAATTCTCCAGTTTGGACTTTTGCAAAAAAATAATGGTAACTCTGCTAAGTGCTAATAAAAAAAACATGTGAACTCAACTCATTTTGTCTATGCTCTAAATTAAACAAGGAAATCCTGCAGAGCTGTGCAACACCAACTGTTCACACATACAGGGTCACTTTACTTCCTGCCCTAATGTTAATAACTAACAAGTGATAAACGCTGAGTACTGTTAAGCATGTTGTATAATAAGAATTTATCAATAGCTATCAATGAGCTATGAATAAATCCTCTAAAATATTAAGCTACACACCACCATTAGAAATGTTGAAATCACCTTGTAGAAAACAAAGCAAAAAATCAACATTTTTAAACTTGTGACAAAAGAGAAAGTAGGTGATCCATAATCTGTTTATCAGAGTTTTTTTTTTTTTAAATCAATTTTTTTTATTTCTGGATTGAAAGCTTTGTTGAATTCTTAGAGAGATTTACGGTATTTAATGCAGAGCTGGGAAAATCCTACAAATACGGACTGTTTTCTGAATCGTTGTTCTTTCATTTTAGACAGCTTATTGAGAAGAGAAAGGGAAAGAATGTTTATCTCTTATAGTTCTTTAAAGCTACAGAGTGTAATTTTCAGCGACATCTAACGTCCAGACTGCAGACCGCAGCAACATGAACATCTCCCCCCCACCGCTTCTCCCCCCCAACAGTACGGCGAGCGTTACGGGACAAAACGTCTTCCATGACGTCCGCATCACCTACCTTCTCAAGTGATGAGGTTTGTTTACATAGATAATTTTACAGATAGTATTTATTAGTCTGTGTGTTCAGTACCGTCTCAGTTCATCTCTCTCAACTTGCCGTAGTTACTTTCGAGCGTAATGGTCGATCTCGCAATCGCTAGTTTGTTGGCTCTGCGCTGCCGTAGCGCAAAGATGTCTGCCTCCATGGCTGCGAGACCCGCTCCTATGTAATTATAAATAACGAATTCTAAGGCAACGCAAATATTAAGGTTAAGAGGCTGAGCTCGTAGATGATGATAAATAACATAGTTATGTATAATATATTACATTTCTGACTGTATATCCCTGTAATTATTACACACTGTAGCTTAAAAGGAAATGGTCTAAAATGTGCATCAGCAGTGTTAAGAGTTAGGAGTTACAAAACTGACTACAAAACAGCCAGAATTACTGCATGTGTAAGTTATGGGCCCAAATCTTTGATTCATGTTACATTTCAGATGTTCCCCTGAGAAACATGGCTCTGACTGCCTGACTGGCAAATATCCAGCTGCGATCTGAGTTCATAGCTGGTTATATGTGAGAATGGTGGAACATTTCACTAAGCAAAGCCTGCAGCTGGACAAAACATCTGGGTTAGTCAGGAAAGCAGGATACAACAGCAAATATCAAGTAACAAAAGATGGTTCCTTGGTCACAGTTTGTGCATCAACATTAGGATTCTCTTAAAGCAGCCCTTTCAAATTAAACTCTGGGAGAATAAAAAAAAAATGTTTTAACGGAAGCAATAAGTAACATAAGCAAATAATAAAATTAAAGTCAATTCCTGTTGAGATTTAATCTTCAAATATAAAAGTTATTTTTATCTTGATGTTTACAAGCAAGCGTCCTTTACCTTTGCCCATATTAAAAACCTATTGCAGTCATCCGGACTATAAATATAAAATTATAAAACTGTACACCTTATCTAGAGATCAGTAACTCCTGTAAAAACAAAAGAGCTATTTGGTTGATGTTTTTCTTTTTGTAATAAGAGCCACAAGTTATTCAGGAATCTGTTTAACTTATCAGCTCTTTTCTATTTCAACTTATTTAGATTGTTGTTATAAAGCAACTCATGCACCTTGTCACTCTAATCCTTACCACCCAAGTGTAGCTATATGAGACATTAAACAACAACACTGCTGAATACTTCGCCGCTGTAGGTCTAGCAAAAACAAAACAGTAATAGAAATCTACCTGTGGGGTTTCCAGGGTTGATGATGCACAGGGCTCTGGGGTTGCAGTAGAGTCTAGCCTCATTCAAAGCTCGTTGGAGCTCATCGATATCCAGACTCCAGCACTTTTCCTCATTAAGGTAATAGTTGATTTGAACAGCACCGAGTTCAGCGAGTGCGGCCGAGTACAGGGGGTACTGAGGTATGGAGATCATTACGCCTGTGCGCGTCGCACCTTCGCCACAAACCAGCAGCTTCAGCATGGTCTGAGAGAGAAGCACAGGGATCAGAATAGAAGGCACAAAGACGTTTATATCCCATACAGTTATGAACCATTTCCCTTTAGAAGGATTAGGATACATCTATAAAGTTATGCCAACATACAGTATAATTATAATGAGGGGAAGTTTCAAAACTCCACAGCTGAACTAAATGTTCATCTTTTCAGTAAAAAAAAAAAAAAAAAAAAAAAAAAACTAAATTCTTTTTGAGATATAAAACAGATTTTACTTTGAAATGAAATCAAGTTGTGTCTTTGCAACGCGATTGTTGCGACATGTCCAGATAGTAAAGTAACATGTTTGGTCGTCACTAGCTCATTCGTTAGGAGACATTTTTATGCTTGAATATTTCATTGCTCTGTGATGAGCATCACCAATACAATGAGTTTTACTAACTTTGTTCTACAAGAACAGCTTTCAATCTGTTAAATAAAATAATATTTTATATCTCATTTTATTTTTGTACCACAATGCCGTCGCTGGCCCCAGTGGTGAGGTAAATGTTGTCTGGATCACAGGGCACGCCGCCGTCGCGCCTCTCGATGTAACGAGCCACATCCTGACGTACAGAGTCTATGCCCTGACTGGCACTGTAGGCACCTGTAGGGAGACCGTAGAAGCTGGTGCTGAATTACGTTTTTACAAAACTAGTCATGTTTGTATTCAGTAACAGAAACCGGTGTGAAATTTTAAAGAGGAAGGATTGGTTCTTATAGTTAGAGCTTGTGAGTGCATTAAGAATGTGTATTGCAGCTATACATACCCATACTGTTTCCTCCACAGGAGTTCAGAATACGACATGCTCTGCTTTTAGCATCCTCTGGGAATGAGCTGTCGCTCAGCAGCTCCGGATACGAGCACAGTGCCAACACCTTCAAATCAACCAAAAGTTTGTGTGAATATTTGAGATCCAGCATGGATCCCACACAACCAAGCTGACGAAGATTTTCAATTAAGGGGCAAACTTTTATTTTTTTAATAATCGATTATTTAAGCTGCTATATTTAGAAGAAAACTTGAAGAGAGAGAGCAGAGGAGCAAACCTGTCGGAAAAAAGTGATTGGCTGCTGGCCCATGGCATGTGCGTCACCAATGTTTGCCTTGATGACCTCAGCGAAGGGCTTCTTCATTCCCTGAATAGATGAAATTGATACAGAGGATTAGTGAAGCAGTGCTTGAAAACTTCACATGAATGATTGTAAATATCAAAACAGCCTTCCTTTTATCAAAAAGAAGGAAGTTGACAAACTGTCTCATCATGTAATCAACCGACACCAAAGCTGCTGCATAAACGTAAACCTCCTTTCATCACTGTGGTTCAAGGGTATCGTCCTAAATGTTTGTTTTCTTTTGAGATTTGTCTGAGGTGTAAAACACTTCACAGCTGAGTTTCACAACACCCCAGCTTCAAAACTACACCGGAAATTTACAGAAACGTTTACATAACTATGGCCCAAGTAGCTTCCTGTTGCAATTTTTTTCTCCAAATGATGCACAGAGGCTTTTAAAAATCTCCTACTTTAGTCATTAAGAGTAGTATAACTAAAAATAGTGCTTTATAGTCTGTCCATTTACCATTCCTTACCTTGTTATATGTAATAGCCTAGTCAGAGAAAGGAATAACTACAAAAATACAAACTAAGTAACTATTTCTATTTTTAAGAAACAGAAGTCTTAAACAGAACTTTGCTGAACAGTAACAAAATCACCACAAAGACCAATGACTACATGCTACATTTAACAACACTAAGATAGTAACTCACTGCTCCCCTCAAAGTCGCCATAAAGGTTTTTAAGGAGCACAGTCATGTGACCACTACCTGCTGGCATATAATTGATTTCTGCGTTTTACACTTTGGTTTTGCTTAGTTGGATAGTAAATAAAGAAATTCATGTATATTTACAATAACAAAAGAGGTATAATACAGCGCATGTGTGCAGAGGGTAGACAAGGAAGCAATGAGCTAAGCCTGTTAGCACCTCTAAGCGGAGTTGTGAAAATAATGAAATTCAAGATGCAGTTTGAGAAAATGCAAAAGTTTTTGATTCCAAGAGGTATCAAGAGTCAAACGGCACTTCAAATGAGGTATTAACTTTGGTATTTAATGCGGAGCTAAAGCTGAGGTGTAATTTAAATACTGCTGCAGAGCTAATGGATGTGATTAAACGTCCTTATCACTACTGATAATAGCACAGCAATGCCATTATCAGTCTCTGCAGTCCAAGTATAAAAGACATTGCAAATAGATTTCTGACCATGCTGCTAAAATCCACAAGGGTGCTTAAGATCTGATTCTATTAATTCAATTTATTTTGCATTCATTCCAGTGAAAAGGTTTTAGCCTATGCCTTAAATTTATCTATTTGAGATATTTTTCTTACCCTAATCCAGGGCCCTGTTTGTGTTTGATAGAAAAGTGAATGTGCTTTCCCCTTAATATTATGATAGGAGGCTCTGCTGAGAATTCAGTAGAACTCATGGCTGTAGATCAATTTAATCAATATCGGTCGACTTCGTCACTTGTCTCTAACTAGCTTTCTGATTCTGTGATAGGGTCTCATCACACCTTATGCAGGAATTCTATTTAGGCTCAATAAGGACCATCAAAACACAATCAGGACAAAAACTAGATGGAAATGGCCTTATTTTATTATAATTAAATGGTTATTAGTCTTTTATTTAGGCATTTGTATTAGCAGCAGTAAAATACCAAAACAACTGACTCCAAACAAGAAAGCACACAAGGCTATGAAAAAAATTCCACACTGGAGCCGTTTATGTATATGCTTGGAGTTAGGAAAAACACAAATAAAAAGTTGTATTACCGTAGTGGTATGCGAAACTTGCATACCACTACGGTGAACTTAGCACAGCATGGTTATCCCCCTAAACTGACAGGCAAGGCATGGCTCTAATCTGTAAACATCTATGACTCACGCACTCCTTTAAAATCAGACTTAAAGTAGAGGAAAGTTTATTTTTATAGCACATTTTAGTGGCAAGACAAAATAGAGTGCTGTTCATGAGGAAGATGGAAAGTAGATTGCTGTAGCATACAGGCAATAAAATAATGAAAGTACACAACACTAAAAAATCTAAATTGAAATGATTATATTATAAGAGATATAAAATAATTGAAAAAAGATTGCTGGTGCCTATCTCCAGCTGTCTACAGGCAAGTGGCGGGGTCCACTCTGGACAGGTCGCCAGTCCATCGCAGAGCAACACAGAGATAACAGGACAAACAACCATTCACACTCACACCTAAGGAGAATCTAGAGAAGCCATTTAACCTAACAGTCATGTTTCTGGATTGTGATAGGAAGCCGGAGTACCTGGAGAGAACCCATGCATGCACAGGGAGAACATGTAAACTCCAAGCAGAAAGGCCGGGAATCCAATCTGGAACCTTCTTGCTGCAAGGCAGCAGTGCTACCCACCTATCCACTGAGCAGCCTTAAATAATCACGTTTAAATAGTACAGTTTATCAGTTTTTTAAGGTCTGACTGCTACATTAGTCTTTTAATCCTGGAAATGTTCTTTAGGTGATAGAAGGCCGACTTTATCACTTTCTTTATGTGGTTCTTGAGATTCAGGTCCGAGTCCGTCTCCAAACCAACAGCCTAACTGGCGTTTTCTAGATGTCATATCAGCAGCTGGGTGCAAACTTTTCAAAAATATTCCTTTAGTACAAAACTTGTTACTTTAGTTTTGTCTTGATTCGGGTGAAGAAAATGTTGGTATGTTCATGAATTAATTTCTTCAATGCATTTACCCAGAGGTTGAATGGGTTTATACTGTAGTTACCTGGTGACATTGTACTGTGCAGCTGCGTGTCGTCTGCATAGTTATGGTAACTAATGTTGTTTATTAAGATCTGAATTAGGGAGAGCTTCTACATATTGAAAAGGAGGGACTTTAAGATGGACTCTTTGGGAACGCCACATGTGATTCTTTAGATCTCTGATGTAAAGTTACCTACCGACACATAAGAGTCTCCGTTCTTCAAGTAGGATTTAAACCAGTCCAGCTTTATACCAGAAGCACTCACCTAGTTTTCCAGGCTCTCTAATAAAATCGAGTGATCAGCAGCTTTCAATGCTGCACTGATGTCTACTAACACCCGAACTGTCTGCATTTATGCAGATTTCATTGAACACGTTGTCAAGGGCAGCTTCTATACTGTGTTGAGTTCAGAAACCCGACTGGAAGACATCAAAGTGGCTGATCATTGTTAGAAAGGTGTTAAACTGTTCAAACAAGGCTTTTTTAACAATCTTACTGATGAAGGGGATATTTGAGAGGGGCATGTAGTTGAAGAGTAGCAGCTTACGCAGGTTGATTTTTTTTAACAGCAGTTTTATAATTGCTGTTGTCAGGGCCTGGGGGGAAAACACTTGACAAATAAATTATTATTATTAGAGCTAAATCAGACATTATAACAAGCAGAGCTATCTTTAGGAAAGCTGTGGGTAATAAATCAAAGTGTTGGGAGGAAGGGTTTTGGTGCATGATTTCTTCTAATTTTTTGTAGTTTTTCATCAACTAAGGAAATTATGTCTAGATCTGCTCTCGTTGGAGACAACCTTGGTACAGTACTTGATATGGATGTACAGACTGCCCCTCTAATCTCTGGGAGGTTTTCAGGTAAAAAAAGCAAAGTCCTTTAAGACCCTGGCGGAGTAGTGTTCAGATTCTATACTTACAGGAGGGTCTATTAACCTGTCATCCATGACAACCAAAACATGAGTTGTTAATGTTTTTGCTAATGATCTCAGAAGAGAGCTTCCCTTGCATTTTTTCTGTTGTACATTCTATCAGTAAAGTCTCACTTTATGGATGTTCTAGTTAAATTGAAATCTAGACATATCGAGGAGCCACTTTTACAACAGAGACAGGATTTTGAACTGATGAGAAGTGGAGATAAATGTGGGGCAATCCTGGGCAAAAAAAAAAAACTGTTAAGGGACCAAAAAAGACATGAGGCTGGGTCAGAGGTCAACATTTTAGAAGGACGTGGGGTGTAGGGTTGTATACATGGTGTGCCTGCCAATTCTTTTAGTTTTTTATTCAAACCATGCATCTAGATTTATTTGAATTGTGCATGAGGCTGTAATCTGAAAGAAATGAGCAAGTTATTATGGTTAAGAGCACCACACTTCCTCACCTTTGTTCAAAAAACGCCATCTTTATTGAAACACTCCTAATAGAATAAATTATCACAAAAGTAACAAATGCCAACTTTTAATAATACAGTAGCTATTTGAGATATCTATCTGAAAACTATTTTAGATAAATGAGGAGAAGATACATTTGATGAAGACAGATTGGGCTTTAATCTGCATGGGGTTAAGTGATAAAAGGCAAGATAACATACATGGGTAGCAAATTCCATGTAATTAGAGTGAAAAATATTACTGAAAAAAAAAATTATTTTTTATAATGTCTCTAAAGGCCCTTGCTGCAAGCTGAACTCTAATGCTGTTGGATCTGCTGACACAGCACAAACCCCAGCTGCTCACAGTGGAGATGAAAAACATGGTGACAGCAGAGCGACAAGAAACCAGAGGAACATCAGGAACCCCGACACTCTGCAGAAATCAAAACAGCCTTTTTGTTTGATTTGTCCAGTACAGCTTGGATTTTATGAAACCTGGGCTGCGTCATTGGATGGGCGTCAGAGAGGCGTATCTAAAGCTGAGCCAATAACATCAAACAACGTGAATAACTCCCCTCTTTGTGGAGGGAGCCTCCCATTCAGGACGCTGACCTCTTGAAAAAAAGTTAACCTTTGCCCCTCTGCACTGGCATCAGAAGCTGGGTGATTTTTGTTCTCAGTCCTCATTAGGAAATGAAACACAAATACTTTAGAAAAGTGCAACTATTCCAAGCTCAGATACTGCACCTTTGGTTTAATCCGCTTTTCTTTAATTTCAGAGTTTTATTATGTTAACAATAGCAAACAATAAATCATTTGTGAAAAAATAAAAACAGCTTTGATCTATGCCCTTTTTTTGTGCAGGATGACAGTGGATGGAATATGCTTACACAGCCCTCTTTGTGTCCAACTTGGATACTTTCTAAAATGTCCTAATTTATCATCAGCAAGTAGCTCATTTAGACAAAACAAAGGCTACAATCTAATAACTTTGCATTAGACTTTTATCAGTGCACCTGCAGGGTGGTGCAGTCTAACACATACTGCCGATTATGGGAAAAACAAGGTAACAACTGTCCAGACTAATCATGTGGGAAACATGAGTAGGGAATTACACTGTACTTTACTGTGTGAGTGTTAAAGTCCCAGACAAAAGCAAGAACACCACAGTGACCCGTTTCCCAAGGTAACCCAACACCATCCAAAGAATTACTTGATCATGTAAGCACTTATAAAATGGAGGAGGGTGTTTTTTTATTTAAACCTTATGCAGTAGTCAGTAGATGTGCAAAGTATTGAAAAGAGAGGGATGGATTGAGAACAGTAATGATTCGTTTGAATAAGTTTGTGGACATAAAGAGAAATCCTGTTTTCCCCTCCTCAGGATCAAACTAATTATTATTATTATTATTTTTTTTTTTTTAAGGTTGGACCTTAAGATTTTCCTGCTAATTACTTTTTTTTTTCTATGAACTGAAACTCAAAAAAATAGAGTGTTATATTTTACAGAGGTTGTAGATTTGAACTGCATCCTTCATCCAGACAGTTGATATTGGAGGTTTGTGAATTTTATTTAACTAAAAAAAAAAGAAAAAAAGGCATCTCTTAATAAACCCTAACAAGTCTTTGGAAAATATATAGATTCACCACAGAAAACCTCACAATATGTTGCTGATCATTACAAGGTGGATACAAATGTAATGTCTTCTGCTTTTTGACCATCAATGCCTCAGCTCAAAAACACCTGATCAAACCTTCGTAGAGCTGAGAAGAAAATAAATTAGCTGGAAGAAAACCAAATAGAAATCAAGCCAATAAAGAGGGAGATCAGCTGAGGACGTGGCTGTGTCAGAGTAAACACAATGGGAACCAGTGAAGCATCTTGTTAAAAGGTTACCACTATCATTACACTCCCAGCAAGGACACACCACAGAGAGATGTTCACATGCTTATTCTATCCTCACACCAGACTGCACTGGGTACATTAGGAGCTGCCACATCATCAGACATGGTGGGACAGGAAGGGATACATCTGGGGAGGGGATAAACTGGCAATATTTGATAAATGCTGGATGGAAACCTCTGCTAGACTGTTCTCATAGTGACAGTGGGCACATCCCTCTTTTTAAAGTGCTGCAATTATGGATAAAGGACACGAGTTTCATGAGGAAGATTAAGGGTGAAGAAAAAAAAATATTTCCTCGATATGTTAAAATCTACGGAAGAGGATTATTCTGAGAAAAAAAAGTCAGAATTCTGACTTTTTTTCTCGTATTATACTGAAATAATATTTAAAAATCTGTTAACTTTTTTTGTTTTTTTAATGGACCTAATCCTATTCCGTAAAAATCTGAATCTGCAGCTCAGACATAAAAAAAAAAAAAAAAAACTAAATGGCCATCTAGAAAAGAATGAAGATCTCTGCTGTAAATCACTCTACTGTGCAACAGGGATATTACTAGGTGGAACAAACTGATTAAGATTGTTCTATAAGCAGCTTTTTGGTAACTAAAGTTTACCTAAAACAACTGGAGAAAATGGGGGCTTGCTTAGAACAGGGTTATGTTATAGATATCTAGTTTATATTTCAATTATTACCTTGCAAAAACAACAACATTCAAATATTTTAATTTAACAGCTTATGGAAATACATGCTTTTAATGGATGCATTTTGATTTTGACAGATGGTTCAGTGTTCTTGCCTGCCCTAGAAATATAAGAAATACACAGAGTACAGAAAGCAGATAGAGTTTTAGCATGATTAAACTGGTCAACGATTCAGATCTGGAATTAGTTACCAACTGGTGGACTTTGATAAGTAGCACTTCCCCCAAAAGTTAAATAATCTTCCTTGTTGGTATTTAAATGCTGATGCAGTTTAATTTTATCTGCATATTAGTTTAAATTCTCTCTTTCTGGCTGTTAAAATGTGTTGCTTAATGTGTTTGGTAATGGTGATTTTATTTTTAACTCCTCTGCCTGGCTGGGATTACACTGGATCAGGGATCTTTACATCATCATTTATTTGCATCGTCCCTTTCCATTTAACAAAGGTTTTGTTCATTTGCGTTTCAACCAAATTAGAATCTACTCCTTAATATCTCCAACATTTTGAACAAGCACTCTACCAACACAGCATGCAGCTCCCAGCTGGTTTCCCCATCAGCTGCTCTTACCTCACTGAGCTCCCTCTCCAGCTCCACGGCTCGCTGCACGATGGGCCCCCGGACGGCGTACTCCACCTTCTTCACGGTGGGGTTGATGGTGTCGATGGTCAGCACTTTGGGTCGGGACATCATCCCGTTCTCGGACATTTTTTCTTTGGGGAGTCCGCGTCGCGTAGAACTCAAACTGGACAAGGCTCTGCCGAGAGAAGATGAGGGGGAGGTGAGTGAGCGGAACCTGGGACCACCGCCATCCCCATGCGCGGTTCTCCCCGGGCTGAAAAGCCGGAGGCTTCTGGGTGACAGCAGCTGCACGCGCGTGGCTGACATGTTACAACAGTCCTGTCCAAAGAGTCGGTGGAGTTTAAAAAAGAAACGCTCAGCGCTGCACAGCGACCGCCGTCAGACCGGTAACCTCACACTGCAGAGGACGGATAAAGTTGTGTAATTGGCCCCTCAGCGCTTCTAAAAGTGACTGAGCTCTCGGACTTTTGGACCTTCAAGACGCCGCATTGATAAGAGCAGCGCGAATAAAAGCCGAGAGGAGGCGCCTGGAATCAGCCACGGTCCTCAAACTTTCACTGGAAAGTTTCAGGGTGGGCGGATGGGGACAGACCCACCCCGCCCCTTTCGGCTTCTTTTCCACCTCAGGGCTGTGTTCGAATTCATGGGCTGCAGGTCTACCCTACGGCGGCTTTTACCGCCATACGCTCTGTCGCTTAGCAACCGTGACAGATGACCCCCAAAGCAGGAAAAGGATGAATACCGAACTTTTCAAAAAGTTTATATTTCATTTTCTTTTATTTTTATTTTAAAGTGAACAATTACTACACTCATGTGAATACAGAGTGTAATAATAGTTAAATAACATGCTGCTGTCATTTTGCACAATGTTGCTATTTCTTAAACATCCATTACTGTAAAAATGTCCGTAGCTGTATATTGGTTATTTATTCTCTAGGTGCACCGTTTTATATTGTTAAAAAACTTTACAGTATAGTGTTTTATTGTTTATATTTGAACCCTTCCCTATTATGTTATTTTTATACATTTTTCTAAGGTCCACATTTGTGTGACCATTTTTAATAATCTTTCTGCTAATAATCTTGTCCCCATTGTGGGACAAGATTTTCTATTATATTCTATAAAATGGGTAGAAAGATATAAGTAAATCTAAACAATGTGTATATAAAACATATATCTGCAAAATCTCTTATATTCAACAACAAAAAATACTGAGTTAAGCAAATTGGGCAAAACGGCAATGCAAAAATAAAAATCCTATCAGATTTATAGTCCCTAAATTGCAGATATATTAGAATCTGTCCTTACATTACAGCCAAATCCATTTTCACAGTAACAGATAAAAACCTTTAGATAAATCAAACATTACCGCCACATATCTGACTCAATAACCATTAAAACAACTTTTTTTCATTTATTTCAGACAAAACTATTCACTTACTTGGGTTATATTAAACTGAACTTCCAATATTCACCACTGTCCGGCGACAAGCACCATTTCCTCTGAGCTTGCTTGGTCTCGCAATGAACTCTGGGATATCCAAGGATAGGTAGGATACACCAGACCCATCCTTCAAATTGGGCAACAAGGAGCTTTGGAATCTGACTAGACCTCGGCACCGCACTATGATGTAATCGGCCTTTGAATCTGTCCTTCGAAGGACGCATCCCATGAATTCGAACAGAGCACAGGTTAGCCCATGCACCGTGGCTTTCATTTAGGGTCTATGCTGCGGTTACATAACCAACCGGGGCAGCTAAAGAGGACCCAGTCGGACAGAAGATGGACATTTCCTACCCTGTCTTGTCTATTCTTTTAGCTCTGTGAAATTTGCAGGGATTTGAGTTTGCAAACTGTTGCTCCAAATAATAATGCATAAAACTGATTGTAATAAACGCTTGTAATGCAACATGAACATGTTTTTCACTAATTGGACCCAGAGCTGCATATTCCAAAGGAAAACATGACATTGCAGCACTTTCAATTAACCAATAATCTTCGGATCTCCATAAAAGTAATGATCCCCTCAACAATTAAATAGAAAACAGACCTAACATGGCTTTACACTCAGACATCTTCCTACCCAAATAGCATTTAAATGACATCTAAAATGAAATTCCATTCAACAGATTTGGATGTAAAGTTTTGAAGACATTTGGATCTACTGATTGATTGAACTACTGCTACAAGAAAATTAAACTAAGATTCTCTGCTTGTACCTGTAGCAACATGTTCATTAAAAAACAGTTGGCGTTTGTGGGAAAGATGTAGTGCCAGAAGTCATGAATGCAAAAGAACAGCTTGGTATCAAGCTTGCTGCCAAAAAAAAAGTTTGAAGAAAATGAATTTACCTAATCTCTACCTCAATTTGATTGTGAAAGTTTGATTTATTTTGTGTGAGGTTTTAAAACTGTAATGCTCATTCCCTTCCAAACGTATCACACTTAAAATAAAGCCAAACTGATAAGCATAAAAACGGTAAGTGAAAGTTGAACTGTTTAAACTTTGTGATTTAACTTTATGCTCTGATGGTCTGTATTAAATCAAACCAGTAGCGCACAGATAGTACCAACCAAATTCAACAAATGCATCAGGTAGCAAAGTTTTATATTCAAGGCAGCCATATTAGGGATGTGAGATGGTGTTTTCAACTTGTTGACATTGTTCTTGTAAGAGCAATTGAATGGTGTTTGCTCAGGCCTGTCTGCCATGGTCTCAGAAAAACAAAGTGGCAGAGAAACTTAAGTGTTTTTCTGCAATACAGCAAAAACTCTGAGATGATACTGACATTAATATCCTTTTCGTCCTCCAAATTCAGATTTTATCATTAAAAATTGTGTTGTCTTTTAAAAGCACCTAACATTTTTTTTAGGTTGAAACTACTGCACGGTATTAAATAATTTGGCATTGATCAGTTTTGCTGCGGTTAATGCCGCAGGTTTTTAGGGTGTGTCTATCTATTTTACAGATCCAGAGAGTGAACGTTTAGCAGGTGAGTGAAAGAGTTCTGTTTAGGTCGCAGCTGACCTCTTGTGTTAAACTGCAAACTTCTTCTGACTTTCTCCTTACCACCTATAAGTAAAGACATATTTAATGGAGTTTATAAGTACCAGTTTCCTGCAGTTTTGCAGTTCTGCAGAACAGGTCTGAGATGGGTTAGTTACCAAAACCCTTCCAGCAGCTTCTCTGACTAATGCTCTCCTTGCCCAGGCCTGCCAGCTCTGTACTGGTAGTTTTGCAGTTGTAAGGTACTTTTTTTATTTCTAGGTGAACTGATCATTGGCCTGAGAAGGTTAAAAGTTATCACTGGTTCATACTTTGCCACAATTGCATGTCTGGCCTATTTACTGTGTTCCCTAATCTTAATAAAGCTGTTTCTCCAGCCATGTTCTCTAACAACCCTCTGAAGATCTAACTGATTGTAGACCAGATTACACACACTTCTTATCTATTTACTTGGCCACGTCTAAAGGAAATTGCATGGACTGGTATTTATTTAGTGGGATCAGACTAAAGCTTGGTTAATACAAATACACATCACTTTATTTCTCAGTTTATGGAGTTAATTTTGTTTAACTATTAAAAAACTAAAGAACATATATTGTAAATTGTATAATATATATATATATATATATGTATGTGCGTGTTATGGCTGAATCAATTATAAATATTTTGCATTTAAAACAAAAACCCTTTCTCCCTTCAATATGATCTATCAAGAACTCCACAAGTCGAAAAAGTTGTCCTCCTTGTCAGTCATTCTGGTGATATGTTTACATAAGGCTGTCCTATGTGCTCGTCCAGTTAGCTATCTTTTTCTGCAAATGTGCACTTTCTGGCGTAAATATGTGGTGAGCTACGGTTTCAGACAGTCATCGAAGCCCACCTTTCTCACCAAGGTTCTTTGAAAATGACCGAGGGTCGTAAAAGAAAGTGTATCAGAAGAAAAGAAAGGCCTCAGAAGAAGCAGATATATCCCAGAATGCTTTGCGTGGAAAGCTCACCTCACAAAGTATTATTGGATTTGCTGTCACAGCGGGACACTGTCGCCATAGGCTGTTGCTACCCGACAGTGGTGACTGATAACAAAGATGGCGCAGGCACCGCACGGTTGAGGAGGAGTTATGTGACCAATGGGGAGCAAAAGGCAGGGATGATCTGTCCGAATGGTAAGTTAACCAAGTTCGCTATAAAGTCTACTATATAGTCCCTGCTCTAGATAGTGATTGAGGGATTTATAGGTTAGTGCAGACGTTCAGACACAGTAAGCTTGTATGAGCTATGAGAACAGCAACTTTGAAACAGAGCTAGCACAAGGAGAAATGGGCTCTTTATTCTTTTTTTTTTAAGTGGAGAGGGCGGGTCTTTAAAAAAAAATCAAGAAAATTCTCCACAATACCTTTAAGTTCACTTTTCTCTTAGATGTTTTTTCTATATCATTATGTTTTATCAAATTCTCTTTATGTTATTTTTAAGGTTTTATATTTAAGATTTTTTTTTCAGTTAATAGTTTTTCTGATTGAGCTTTACAAATTTCAATCTCTTTAACTTCAATTCAACACAAATGTGGGTGGCACCTATGCAGCAGAATAGAAATGTGTCCTCGCTCCCCACGACAGAGGTCCTCCAGAAAATATGATCAGGAAAACATTAGTTGATTTGTAAAACTCAATCTGAAAAAGATGAATCGAAAAAAGACAAATTTTGAATATATGAAACCTTTAAAAAAAATGTTTGTTTTTTTTAAAGCAGTTTAAAAATACTAAAATGTGAAAAAAAGAAAAAGTGCTTTTTGAGAAGACAGTTTTTTTGGATCATCCAATTTCCATTTAAATAAACATGCAATTTAATTGCAAAAATAACTGAACAAAGTTTATTACAGCAATTCCCTTTCCTTACACTTGCCTGTGATGATGGGTCTATGCAATAAAATTGGAAACAAACATATTTGTCAAAACATGACAAGAAAAACCATTAAGATCACCTTTAAAAATAAGCAACAAACCAACATGTATATGAAAATAATGCAAAGATTAAATGCTAAAAATTTACTGCAAGTTTACTTTTTGATTGTGAGCATTTTGTTTCGCTAACTTCAGTCGATTTTGCTTCACCACCAGTAAATATGGAATCTTCTTGTTTTCTATTAACTTATTAATTTCAAACACAGAAACTGAGCGAGTGGAGCTTAAAGTATAAATGTTTATGCGTATTCAATCGATTTGAGATGCTTAAATCAGAAACAGCAGGCACCTATTGATGACAGGACAAAATAATCTTCACATGAAATGCAACACTTTGACAGAAACAGGTTGAGGGCCAGTGTAGTTTAAACACTAATCTCTAAAGTGAACAATAAGAAGGAACTATGTTGCATTTTCACAGCTTTATCTTCTACTTCAGTTCTCTCAGGCATACTTTATCACCTTTTTTTGTGCCAGCAAATTCAAAATTAAGTCCATCAGCAAAATAAACTATTCATGTTAAAATCCTGTTGCTGAAATTATATCAGAGAGAGTTTGTGTTGCAACTTTACGTAGAGCAAAGGTTGGCACAGATGGGAACATGAGCAGAAAGAGCTGGTGCTGCTGTGTCTGAAGTCCATAACTTTTGCATTCTTCTGCAACTAGATAGCATTGCTGAGGCTGGTGGGAGAATCCGTGCTGAAGTTCTTCTGTGGGCCCCCCCTGAGCTCGGTCTTCTGGTGCAACCCAACACGTCTCCTCCTGGGTGAAGTACCGTGACATGCAGAAGATATAAAAGAGTTTCAGAAGCTCCCAGCAGCGGGGTGTAGACAGTATGGGATCAGTAAGTGCGTGATGAGTGGAAAGTTGCACACATGAGACACAGCGACGAGTTTCGCGGTTAATAAGAAGAAGGGCCAGCACATCAGGACGCAGAGGTACAGATCCAGGTAAGCTGCGCTCCCCAATAAGGAGGCAGCTTCTCAGGGTTTCTACCAGGGGCGACCAAAACTGACCCACAAGTTGGACTTCAGCTCTGAGCAAAGATGGGGTGGGACCACACAGCACGCAAACATCTGCTCCAGGAAGCAGCTGGAAACGGAGAAGACGGTGGGCGACGGTGGGACTGCCCAGAGGAAGGAAGACTGGGTGATCACAAGAAGCTGATCCAGATGCTGATAAGGTGCGCACCAAAGCAGACAACAAGACAACTTCCTGAGGTGCCAGGCGCCACCACTTCTCAGTAGCTGCTGCAATCCTCCCATGGACAAAGAGGCAGCCAAACTCACTGTCTGCAGCCTGAGCAAAGCCGTCCACGGCTTCTTGGAGGACAGCTGGGTTTGGAGGGAGCAGGGAATCTGCACAGTGTGTGAGGTTCCCCAGGAGTCCTTGATGCTTCTCCTCCAGCAGCTCATCGATGAGGCAGAAACAGGAGCGCAGGTCCCTCTTGAGTCTTTCAACATTCCTGAGTTGAAGCAGCTCATCCTGTCCCAGCACCAGCACCATGCTGTTCCACACGTTTTCCAGGAGGCGTTGTAAGCGGATCTCCTCCTCTCCACTTGAGCCACCTCCACTCACAGCGATGAGCATCACGCTGTCGTGGAACACCCTCCACACCACTTTCCCACCCCCCTCAGTCTCACAGGAGGACAGGAGCACCCCATGTCCTCCTCCGAACATGTGAACCCCATTCAGAGAGCCAATGATCGAGAATGGCAGCTGTCTGGAGGCCCCCCTGGTGAACAGAGGAACCCCGCTGCTGGCTGTCAGGCACAGCAGCTGAGTGGATCCATCCTGTAGCATCATTAGAACAATAAGCGCGTCAACACCCACTTAACAAACTCGTATTTCAACTGCGGCAGATTACAAAGCCTCTCAGCTATTGTTTCGTTTGACCGGTTGTATAACAAGAACAGAGGCTAAAACTCCTAGTGTTGCATCAGCTAAGGTTAGCCGTTAGCCTCGCCTGAATCATTAAATAATAAAAGAGACATAAATCAACCGACAAACCTTCTAGCAAACCGCTCTTTAAAGCCGCTTAGTCTTGTCTTCTAGCTGTATTTATACATGCTAGGTTAACAAAAGAGGTTACCGTCGTTTCCACAGTAACGATGTCCCATGATTCATTCTCTTACATCGGTTTCATCAGGCTGGTCGAGCAGCAGTTCTCAGTGACGACCTATGCTGTAACCGCCAAAGAGCGGGACAAGGATACAGATCTGGGTTCAGCCTCACCAGCTCCGGGAAGCGCCTCACTACGTAGAGCTGAACAAAGTGGCTACCCGGAATGTAAATCTCGCGAGATTAGAATACAATCACTTCGCGGGCTCGCGATTAAATGAAATGACGCTATCTTTCTTCTTAGATAAGCGTCTTCCACTGCGTAAATATATATATATGCGTAAATATATATATATGCGTAAATATATATATATGCGTAAATATATATATATATATATATATATATACAAATAAAATGTTTCTTATGCTATGGTCAGTAGTGTGTTAAACTTATAAATCTTTATTTTTTATTTTTTAGAAAACATATATCCACAAATGTAAATGGTTTAGTAGGTGGATTCCTCAGGTTTAAAGTAAACAGCTATTTCAACATAAGTTTTAAAATCCCTGGTTAGAGATACTTAAAAAATACATCTAAAACGCCTTCCTAGTTGAATTGTAATGGAAACATCTTTTTTTTTTACTCATATTTAATATCTTTTGTCATTCATAATCTTTAAGCATCACAGTTTTGATTTACTAATGCAAAACATAAAGCTTTGAGGGAAAATAACTAGTATGTTTTCTTGGTGTCAGATCAGCATTCAAAAACTGCATCACTTGTTTTCAGAATGAATGTAGAAGCTTAATTCAGACTAGTTTATCAGTACCAAACCAAAGAGTAAACACACTGGAGACATTATCCATGAAATCATCTTTAGACGATGTGCTTTTGTATTCCTCTGGAACAACTCAATCTACTTCACTGGATCTGATTGATTTTGCATTGCATAACATTCCTGCTGGAGGTGAACCTGCTTCTCCTCTTTTGCATTTGTCAAAAAGCTTAATTGCCGTGTCATATGGGAAAAGCCTCTCCTTTTAATTTATTTCATTTTGTTTACAGGGCTTTTGGCAAACTGCATTTCTAAGAGCTTCTAAATTTCACTTTTCTATAAAAGCGAGATTTCTAACAAGTATAGTCAAAAGGCTTCCAGCTACATCTTATCTAATATTTTAGCAACAAATAATTTAATGTCAGGGTGATTAAAATATATGAAACAACACTTTAATTTGGTAATTATTTTAAACCTCATAATTGTACAAGCAACTAAACCACAGAAAAAATAAAAGCTATAGCTGCCTTGTAAATTCTCCAGAGATGATGCTGTAATTTTGGAATATTTTCTATAACATTTTTTACAACCTAGGTCTCATTAAATTTTTTTTTTTTTCTCCACCAGATTAAAAAAATATTAATTGCATTAAACTTTCATTAAAACCTTTAGCTGGCCCGTCTACAAACTTCCCATGTAAAATGATTTCATCTAAAATATTCAAACTATTTAAAAGTTCAAAGAAAGCCTTGTAGCTATGAATTTTTTTAATTGTTTTTAAATACAAAAGTCCACAGCAATAAAGACCACTGATAGAAAAAGGCACAATTATTTACCCCCCAAAAAATAAATCACAGTGTGTGCCATAAAAAAAAAAAAAAAAAAAAAAAAAACCTAAAATTTTTCATTTTAATGTCACCAATAATAATAAATTGATTTTCCTGATACATCTTCAATGAGTTCTACGATTCCCGTGGCAGTATAATGGCTTGGCAAGTGGAGCAGTGCTGAGGTCAACATTTCCCTGGAGCATCTAAATGAAGGCCTGCAGGACACACAGAAGCAATTACTAAAAGGCACTACTTTCTAGACATACAAGTCATACAAGGTGCTTGTGTTATTTATGTAAGGCCTGCATACCAATAAAGATGACACTTTTACAAGAAGGAGCAGACTTTCTGTGGCCTGAAGGGGTTGGTGCTGGAGGACACTCCAGTCAGCAATGGATCCTGCAAGGCATTCTGCAGGCAAAACTGCTGCAGGTCCACCGCTGCTTGTGAAACCTTGAAACCAGAGAGGAATCAGGATAGTAATAAAAATTCAAATTAAAAACTGGGAGATTAAATAGAAATATAAAAAATTAAGGCAGAAACAATTAAATGGATCAATCGTGTTTAATCAATTATTCAGAAGTTTTGTAATAATTGGTAACTGAAGTATAGAGACATGCCATTAGCTGACAAAGCAACCCTCTTAAAAAATTAAATAAAAACAAAAAAATATATACATTTTGCGGTCAATACACTCTTTCCACAACTCCTCAAGTGGATACGTTTTAGTTTCACCGGGTTTTATTTAGTCAAAAGTCTTCTGAAAGAAGCCTTTGGCTATCCGATTATTGATTGATCAAAAAAATTATTTTTTCCAAAAAAAGTTAATCTACTGGACTTTTTTTCCAAGTTTGAAGACGTTTCGCTTCCCATCCAGAAAGCCTTTTCAATTCAAAATGTCAGAATAAGCATTGAGCTGGAAGC